TCCTCTTCTGAGCCTCTGATCTTCTTATTTTATTTACTGTGTATCAACACATTTGCATAAAGGGTTTTCTTTGTGAGCCAACAGTTATCGCTGTCAAGATTCATATTTCCTGGAGACAGCTGGAATTTCTCCTTTATTTGAATTATTTCTCCCTCTTTCAATGTGCAAAGTTATTTTCTCTGCCATTGGATGGGTGTCACCTGACACAGTTAATCTTCTAATCTTCTCTCTAGGGTGACATCAGAGGACGTGGTGAAGACATTTCCTTTCTTGAATACAAAGCTCAGATTCAGTTGTGACTGGTGAAAATCTGGTTACATTTTTTTTTTAATACTGATGAAGGCTGATACTGGAGATTCCTGGGTGCAAAATAGTGCTATATCTAGTCATTTCTGGTGGCTACTGTTGCTTTTGCATCTGCCTGTTGTTTCTAGCCCACTGTCTGTGCTGTCAGCTCCATCCTCCTGCCCTCAGTGCCCGCACCAGCGTGAGATGCTGTCAGGGCACCAGCTCATCCTGAACGTTGTTGCCAGCCCATCAGGCTGAAATGTGACAGGAATGTGTCAGAAAGCAGTCATGAAATGAAATCTCAATCACTGGGGCTTTCTGGGCACCTGACGTTTAGCCGAACGCCTTTGCTTTACACGGGGCAAGCTTGCGCTCGTGGCAGAGCAGAGGTACAAACCTGCCCACGCAGCAGCTCGGTGGCTGTTTCCATGCTGTTTCTGCAGTGAACAGCCTGTGTGTCGTTGCTGCAGTGACGGCAGGTGCTCCAGCTCTGATTTTTCTGGACACGAGTTGGCAGAAAGGCTGGTGCAGGCAGCCTGCTCCACGCACACCGCAGTGCTGTCCACGTGCCTCTTCCAGCCCACAGTTTCTTCTTCATCCCTCGGTCCTCTCCTTCCCTTCCCCCCTTCTCCTTTGGTTGCCTGTATCCAATAGGCAGAAATCTCTTCACACAGCATGAAAAAAAATCCATCGGAATTTGCATTAATTAGGAGGGAGCCGCGCTTTGCCGTCGTTTTCGGCCTGAGCTGTGTGGCAATCCCGCTGATGGGAGATAGGAGCGCCCGCCGAACGGGGCGGGAAGACGCCTGCTTCAATCCCATGGAAAATTGCGGATTTGGTAATCAGATCCGACTCGGCTGGCTGCAGAAAGGGCTCTTGCTCACCGCGTTGTCCTCTGCCGGGACAGCAACGTGCAGGGGGCACAGGCAGAGTCCACCAGGCCCTACAGGCTGGCGGCAAAGCTGCCAGGCTTAAGGTTTTAAAAGACCAGATTCTTAAAGGTGTTTAGGCACTTAGATCAGAACCCTAGCAAGATATAAAAACACACGAGCTAGGCAGCTGAGCCTCACTACGTATCTTCCTCATTTTGGTGATGGATAGTGTTTGTGAAAACGTCTGTCTCTTGTTCACTCCTTGGCCATAAATCTTGCTAGAAGTCTGCAGGGCTTGGACATTAAAGCAGCCGTGTACTTGCAGTGTCACAGGTGTCCTGCAGCCGGGCTTTCCCACACGTCTCCTCATTTCCCAGGCACATTAACTCAGCAGGCTTTGGACATCTGAAAAGCCATTTGCCCAGCATACACTTCCTGTGTGCAGAGGTGACCTGGGGGATTCATGGCACGTATAGCAAGCACTAAGTTCCTTTTTCTTCATGGAAAATTCCAGAGATTGAAATGGCAAGACTAGCTTTTAATATTAAAAAAAAGTTTGATCAGATAAACCACTGATGAGGAAAGCTTTGTGATTTCCTTTAAGCAACATCAAACACAAAGCCTTTTTTTTTGGTGGGACAAGAAATCACGTATTTTGTACACGCTCTGCCACTTTGTTCTCTGCTTCCTTTATGTATTTAGAGACACCCAAGGCTTATGCAACAGGCTGCCACAGAAAATCACATGAGCCCAGGCAAATCTTCTTTAGGAAATATTGCAATGCTTTCCTCCATTAATTAAATTTACTATTTAATTCATGTTTTTTTTCATATGCAGAAGAATGTCTGTGCTGGGGAGTAGTATACAGTAGGCACAATAATGACCGGTTTTCACTGAGTGTTGAGGGATAAGCACCCTTCTGGTTCATCATCAAATCTAAGTGATGGCAATTATTGACAGGTATTTAACACAGTTGTCACACTAGATTAATGCTTATTACGATACTTTACTTACTATTTCTCACCTTTTCTTGTTTAGTTCAATTCTTGGCTTTTTCATTTTTTGCCATGACAGACACCAGCCCTATTCATAAATTCCACAAACTTTCTGCTTTCAGACTTCAGTTTTCCAGGGGTTGGCCTCTCTCCAGGAGCAAGCATGCGTCTGTTCAGTCTGAGAAACAAAGAAAATTAAGCATATAGTTGTATGCTTAAAAAAAGTCTTATGACTCCATAAAAAGTCATCTCTACAACCAAAATATCCAGAGATCAAAACAGAGTTTTAGATTGAAACAGTCCTCATTAAAAATAAGTTTTGCTGCTACTAAGATAAGAAATAGGCCTGATTTGTTCAGCTATGACTCTGTGGATAATTTCATGCTTCAGTGTTGTTCTGAAGAGCTCTCCCAAGGCTCTGTAGAAAGTGGGTGCCAAATGCTAGCAATGGCGCTGACAGACAAGCTCTTGCCTGCATTGCTGTAATAGTTTAAGGTGTTTTTGTCTTGCTCCCAAACTTCTCGCTCCTCTACTGCCTCTTCCAGAAGACTTTGTCCCCTGTAGCAGACTTGGCCCAGAACAACATGAGCGGGGTGGCAGAGGCACAGGTTTCTTAAACTGCTGATGAAGATGAGCTTGAGCTCAAACACAAAATTGTGATTTCGTGAGATTTCCACCTAGGCACCTGTCCAGTTTTGCTTGAGGACTCTAAGCTTCAGGAGAGACGCACTAGCACACAGCTGGGAGAAGGTAACATCAAAACCAGCTGTAGCTGTTTGCCCCATGAATCAAAATCGTGAGTCCTTGATCCTGCAGATATTTAAGCATTTAACTTCATTACTGGCCTATATTTAACTTTATTACTGTGAGTAGTTCCAGGAACTTTGCTGGGGCCTGAAGCTGCAGTGACACATAAGTGCTTGTAGGAGAGGAGCCTGCACTTGTGCTGGGTCTAGCTCAGAAAGCTTCAGCTCACACATACGTCCGAGCAATCCCTCTCTGCAGTGAAATTGTACTCCAGTCTCAGGGCACTGAAGAGACCACTTGTGCCATTTCAGAAAGCACGCTCAAGGCGGCCGTGCTTACTGGAATAAAGCAGTCCTGCAGCCTCCTTTCCTTCACAGATGTGTACTGGCTTTAAGAGCAGCTTTCTGCATGCGTGTCTATCTTCTGCATCAGCTAGAGGCCATTCCTCTAGCCTGTGGGCAGCAGAAGGATGGGCCGGATCCACGTGCTGCCTTGCATTTCCCCTCCTTGCACCGTGTCCCTGGCAAAGAAACCAACTGGAGGCTCCGCTATTTTCCCTCCAGATCTGACAGTGTGACTGTGTAAGTGTGACTTACACCAGCGAGGATCCCGGTGCTACAACAGCAGCAGCCCGAGGAACAGCTGCTGGCGAGGGCTGTCCCTGGTGGGGTGACGCCAGCAGGTCCTCGGGCCAGCAAGCCCAAGGGCCGGTCACACACGGAGCCAGTGCAGGGAGCCCCTGGCACCCGCACGAACCGCCCTGGGCGGCCTCTGGGATCGCTCCCCAACGAGGGACCCAGACGGGAACCTTGCTGCGATACATAACTATTGCATTTGCAGCTATTTTAGCTTCTTAGTCACTGGCCTGATATCCTGACTTGAACCTCTGGCTGGCTTTGGTGCTGGGTGAGAAGCAAGTTGCTAAAACACTTCTCCTCAGGGGATTGAGGCCAACAGTTGGGTGCTTCAAATGAGGTATCTAAATAAAAGCGGCCTGAACTGAGTACACTTAGCTCCTGGTAGACACATGGCAAATTAAGCCTTTTTTTTGTTCGAGGTATCTCATAACTAGGGTAGATAAAACACAAATTATCCTCAACTGTTTCACACCTCGTTTCCCCAGGTGTGAAAGCATCAATAAGTGGCCACAAACCATCCTCTCTGTATGGTGCTGAGGGCACCTGCCAGGTATCAAAGAACTGTTCTCTCTGCTGAATATATGATGTTTTTAGTGGTCCTTTTGCTTCATTAGGAGCCTCATTAATACAGCGGTATGCAGAGGTCCTGCCTCGCTGGCTGGACCCAGCCGAAGGCTGAGAGCTCTGGAAATTCCATACCAGACAAATCCTACTTAAAGTTTTCCAAAGATTAAAAAAAGAATATTACACATGTAGCCATCAAATGCTTCATTAAGACAGCATTAAAACAGCATATTTTAAGTGCTCAGAAAGAAAAGTTAGAGAGCATACTGTGTTCACAGTGTGGCCATCATCTGGTATAAACACACAGTGAGACAACCATTAGTAACCTTGTCACAAGGTACTTCCTGGTGATTACAGTAGAGAAGGAAAAAAATATTTTTTTTCCCTTCCCCCTTAAACAGCTCCACTCCAGGGACTCGGGCAAAAGAAACCCCCGAGCCCCCGTGACAGCAACCGAGTGTCTGATCAAGCCCCTGCTTGGGCTGCAGCTCCCGAGGGTGCAGCCCGAGACCCAGCGCGGCCCCAGAACACCCCGCGGATCCCACAGCCCCCCGACCTTGCTGCCGTCCCCACACAGCAATTAGCGCCTTGCTGCGGGACGTGTTTTGAGCTGGGCTCTTAAAAGCCGTTTCATAAATATTGCATGGCCTTTCAGCCGGGGTAATGTGCCTCCCTGACATTAAAGAGGAAACTCTGCGAAGGGGAGGGATGACAACAAATTTATCCACCAATAGCACACTCTTTTGGCACAAAAGCACATTCTTATCTTTACATCCCATGATGAGGAGGCAGAGCCGGGCCGGCGGCCGCGGCGCGCTGAGCGGGTGGATGTACAGTACAACCGACGGGCGCCTGTAGGTTGCCAGATACCCGCACGAGCGCCCGTGCCCCCCCGCCGCCGCCGGCCGGGAGGCCTCCGCGCACCATGTCGGACTGCGAGGGACTGCCCGTGGGTAAGAGCCAGATTTATATTTACCGCAGCGTCCCGCCGGCGGCTTCGCCTTCTCGGATTGCACAGCGGCCGCCGAGCCCCCTGCCTTTCCTGGGGGAGAAGCGCCCTGGCAGCGCCATGAACACGACGCGTGTTGGGCTACGAGGTGGTGGCGCCTGGTAGCCACCCATGATGGTGGCCGGGCCAGCAGGCTGGGCTCGGCCACGGCTGGGATCGACCCGTCGCTGGCGAGCGGCGCGTTCGGGGGGACGCGTGCCGAGGAGCTGCGCGATGCCGACGCACCGGGCTAGCGAGACAAGCGAGCCCGGAACACGCGGCGCGAGCGTCTCCTACCTCAGTTCGGTGCCTTAGGAGCTTCCTCCGTGTCTGGAGGGAGCTCTGCCTGTGCTCCGGGCTGTGCGAGTCAAACCTCTCCGCACCGGAGAGCAGGGCAGAAAGAGGCATGTCGCTCAGCTGGGTCTGCTTTTCTTTCCTTCTTAACTTCTACCCATACTGTAAACATCCACTAGACCGTTTGCATGAGAGGAAATTCTTGTGGAAATGCTAGAGTAATCCTCTGCCAGGACATTTGACTAACAGAGGCATGGACCACTGAAAACATCTTTTTTTTTCCCTTTTGCCATGGCTTTTCACATATGTAAATATACATATGCACGCACACACATATATATAATATAATCCTTGTGTTTCACTGGCCTCTGAGGGACGTGTGCTGAGCTGAGGATGTTGACTAAAAACTGGGACTAGGAAAGGAGGAGGCTGCTGTGGTGCTTTTTTTTCCCTCTCTCTCTGCTTCCATTTTCCAAAAACAAACCAAGCACAAAATACGCACGCAAAAGCAGAGTGAAAAAAGATAAATTATAGATGCAATGCGGAGTGGCCTGCGCCATGCACAGTCCTCCACGCCGGCAAACATTTGCAGCCGTTGCCTAAAGACAAAAGAAGAGAGTTGAAGCTGAGTATTTCTTGCTTACCTTATAGAAGGGCTGATCTTTTTTCTTGTTTCAGCATAATTTCCCTTCTTCAGCAAAGCTGGCTTTGATTTTCCGGGCCTGACCTATGTTTGCTTGTTAAGCACTCCGAGCCGAGGGTGGGATATTTCAGGACGACAGTGACAGTATTTAGCTGGCATCTGGTATTAATGATGAAACTGATATTGAGCGTACGTAGCAGGTTGGGTGCAAAAGTTGCTTGTATCTCAATTACCTTTGCCGCTGAAAGGGCCCCGGGAGTTTCCTTTGGAAAATTGTTCATAGATGCGTAATTTGAGGGAAGGAAGAAGTTTGTTATGAGAAGGAATGAAAAGCAAAGCCGAACTGAGCTGCGGGTGTTTAGATGTGGAAGCTGCTTGGAAACGTTCCAGCACACGCCGAGGGAAGGTTCGCTTCTCCCGTTCCACTCGTCTTCCTCCCAGCTTCGTCTCTCCCTGTTGCCCTCATCTTCCTCCCACTCCAGGCCTCTTCCTGGCTCAGTGCCGGCAGCGTTTCTAGCACCCGCGCTCACTTTATACCTTGCAGCATGGCTGACACTAGGCAGAAACAACCACCTGGAGCCAAAGCTCCATGCTCTGCAGAGCCCTTGCATAATTCCCTGGCTCCCGCGCGTGTCGATGTGCGCTCACATGTGTTTGAGTGCACACCAAAACAACGCTGGAGGTACAAAGCGCAGCACGTGTTACTGGATGATTCTGGGGAACACATTGCTGACGGCGTGCTTTTCATGTCAGGGTATTTTGAAACCAGATAAATCCCTTTGTTGTTATTTCTCTTTTACGAGCTACTTCAGCTTTAGCAATAAAGATGCCATAAAAAGGGTTTGCAAAGAAAACAGCATGAAACTTTCTAAAATGATGATCGATGTCCCTTAGTGCAGAAATACTGTTTTACTGAGCCCAGTACAGTCAGACTGAGACCTTGTACTTCTTCAATCCTTATTTCTGGATATGGCCAGACAGAGTTGTTATAGTGACATATATCATTGACACTGTCGTGTGGATTGTAGCTGCTCTCAAGAGCCCCATTTACAGGATAAACTGTGCAGAACTATGCATGTGTGTGTATATACCTGTACACAACGATAAGTAAATTTAGGCCAACTGCAGTGTTAGTATCTGGTGTGTGCGTTACTTCACTGACCTCTTTGCCAAGTGTATGCCTAGAGAACAACCTGGCAAATTGAAGCCTGTAGTTACAGTAAATTAATATCAGGATTTTTATGCTGCTTTCAGCCTACACAAGAATGTAGCAGGAACAGCTGCATAATTGTGCTCTCAGAGAAGCAATTCAGAGAGAACTGATGAATACGATCTCTGCATTAAATAGCTGGATATGAATGGGTCGATATACCAATAATTTCTGAACAAGAAGTTTTATTCTGTAAGAATATTCCACTTCTGCATTTGGAAAAGTTATGCAGCTTTTCAGGATGAAAGCACTGGGTTTTTAAATCTCTGTTTTATGTTAGATTCCAGTGCGGCTGCACTGTTTCCCCGATTTGGAGTGGAAAATGAAACGTGATGCAAGCAAAGTTTTGGTTTGCCTTTTGAAGGTAGTGCAGAAGACATGAAAAATGACTGTCAGATTGCAGATTAAATCTAAGTAATTGTCAAGCTATTCTGGATTCCACTGAATTCCTACCAAAATAGGAAAGCGTTGATATCTAAACAATCAATTAGTGAACAGAATTCTAGAATTTACGCCATTCATTTCTCATTGTAGCATGGATATATAAAGAAGAAAGAAAGATGAGTCACCTCAGGACCAACACACTCCTCTTTCTTTCTTTCTCATTAGCAGGTATTGACATCCTGATGCTCTCCATTAGTGCTAGGTACATAGATTTCCTGTCATTCCTGCATGCAGATAAAAGAAAAGCACATCAATTATTTAAGTGCTTCCTCTTGTGTGCATTATTTGTCTTTTGTAGGGAGGCATGGTTCAGCCTCTGTACAACTGAGCAGTTTCTCACGCACCCAGCATTTTGATGAGGAATATGTGAGTCACGATGGTTCTGCTCCTTCGCACAGGCCTCTCAGCTCAGAAAAAAAAACCTGTGAAGTCGAGCAAAGCTCCTCAAAGTGCCCGTTTGCTTTATATCCCCTCAAAGAGTGCAGCAGCCAGAGAGTGATTTTTAGGATGGGAGCTAAATTTTTGTGGGTGATGCTGCTCTGTTGCAATAACACAAGGTATTCAGCTGCCATAGGCAAAGATTATACTGCTGAAGGGGGAAGCAGCCAGTCAGATTTGGGGAATCCCATATGTACATCCTTTCTGTGCGTTTTATAAAACAGTGCTAAAAAGGGAAGAAACAGAATTGATTCAGGCTGTTCTGCAGCAGGTGGCATGCAAATCTAATTGATTTCATTAAAATTCCTCACAAACTTTCCTTGGCATCCTTTCAATAGAGGAAGAAATCAGACCTTTCATCTGAAGTATATTATTGAATCTCTAGCTAAATATTTGCCTTCCAAGCTAAAATTACATATTTCAAATGTGTATTTAAGAGAGACTGTAGCGAATACACTAAAATAGCTGTTTTCAGAAGTAGGATATCCCAGAAACCTACAATAATTTTGGTTTCTTGGGATTCACTGCACATTTTGCAGTGTCATGGGGAATGCCTTTAGCTCAGCAGTAAGCACTCCATCAGCCCAAACCACTGCTAGTGAGGGAGAAATGAGCCTTGAGGTCATCCTCTGGCACTCTGCTCTCACTGTATGACCACAGGGAATAAGAAAAAGGCACAAATATACTTTTTCACCAAAAATCGTTAAAATGATTCAGGATACACACGGGGAGTAAATCTGTCAAATAAAATTGCCCTGCTTTTGCTTAGTCATATCAGAAATATGCTGTAAATTAATCTTTCATTCAATGGTGAAAAATACCAGCTCAGTGCAGAGAACTCAGCAGCCTTCATGGGGCCAGAGCACCGGTTTTTCCCTTTTTCTAGACCTTAGAAAAAGGCACTGACCCAAACACTGCTGTGCTCATATGGGTGGCTGCATTGAGTACAGCTGTTTGCAGGATCTGACCCAGAGCAAATGGCAAAACACTGAAATCTGTGCTGGAATTGGCATGCAGACTACATTTAGTACTCGAAGTTCCTGGGATAAGCACGTGAGTGGTAAAGTTTTCTCCCCCTACCAGCCCAGCTGCCCACTGTGTTAGCAAGGTGCTGGGATCTGGTAGGATGGAGGTCTGGAAGATGCACTATGGGTCCCGAGCCCACCAAAGCCACTGGGCAGTCCAACGAGTTCTTGTCTACCCTGCTACCTGCCGTGGCCCAGCCACCTGGAGATGTTCTGCAGCTGAGACAAACTGCTTAAAGGTGAAATGTAAAAATGACCAATGGCCGGTATAATCCTCAAGGAAGAAGCACTTCCCAGCATCAGCGTTAACCCCATTTTGTGAGTTCTGCTCTTTCTTCAACCACTGAGCAGTCTGCACCCGCCGGGGTTCTCCTAGCAGGACTCTGCACTCTTTTCATAGCAGCAGTATCCAGGAGACATTTTTATCTGGTTTGGTCAAAAGCCAAAGGCCACATTCAGCACACCAGCTCCCTCCTGCTCTCCCCTCTCTTCCCAAGAGACCTTTTTCATGCTGGCCTCGGTGGCAGTCCATAGAAAAGTCCTGCCAAGGGGAGCAGAGGGGAAGGAAATCGCCACCAGCTCCCAGCTCATTGCCTCATAGCTCACTAGTGTCTATACGTTTTTTCATTGTTCATAAAGGTAATTTCAACTCTCTAAAACTCACCATAGAATCACAGAATCATAGAATCATTACAGTTGGGAAAAGACCTTCAAGATCATCAAGTCCACTAGCAGAAAGGCATCACAGCCCTGTACATCCACCTGATGAAGGGCTTTAAGAGTTATGTATGGAAGGCTCTGCACAAGAAAGAGATGCTTTTCTTGGAGCAGCCAGGCTTAGCAGGTGGGAAATGTCCATTTTGACCACTGGAGAATTTTCTGAGCAGCATTAACCACTAAGAGCTAATTTC